ACGGCAGCGCCACAAAACACGGCAGCGCCGCAAAACGCGGCAGAGTCGCAGAACACGGCAGAGTCGCAGAACACGGCAGAGTCGCAGAACATGGCAGAGTCGCAGAACACGGCAGAGTCGCAGAACATGGCAGAGTCGCAGAACAAGGCGGAGCCGCAAAACAGGGCAGAGCTGTGAAAGATCTTTCGTAATAATAACATTATTCATGAGGATCGGCATTGTATCTGACGGCTATAATCAATTAACACCCACGTCAGAGTCGGTCCTACTTAAACTTCGTAGTCCGACATACAGTAGTGGGAAATTTGCAGCAACACTTCATTACAATGTAATTTTGTAGAAGTCAAGATTCACAAAGTATCAAACACATCGTGAAAAATTGATTTGCCAAAAATTTCCCATCCATTATGTTTGGGGGAATATTCTAGAATTGGAAAACTTTTAAATATTCTAGAATGCAAATGAACCTCATAGACATCTTTCTAGCTGCAGTCATTCATTACATGGCATCGTCATTAGAAGGTGGCCTAAATTGCAACAAGACTAAAACTGCATAGTTATCTGAATCAGCTAGAAAATCAATTATTCATCTACAGTTTTTCTACACAGACATGTTCGGGATTTAGAAAAAATTCAGCTGTGTTAATTATAAAGATTTTGACAGTTGGCGATACTGTTCGCAGGCGGAATTCATTCATTTTTCGGCCACTCGGCATCATTCAGGGCGTCAAAGGAAAATTTCTGATCAGGCGGTAAGGAGTTTAGTTCTAAAAGTACAGCATAATCCTAGACTGACTCGATATGAACTGCAAAAATACTTGCAGTCATGTGACACAAATGATTGCGAGGATGCAATTAGAAGACAGTTCTTCGAAAGAAAGGATTCCACTCTCGGTCACCAAGAAAAACCCTTCTCATAAAGGAAATTCACGTAAGAACCGCCGAAACTTTGCTAGAGAACACGTGAGTAAACCTTCAAACGTTTGAGATAAAATATTATGATCAGATGAGACTAAAATCGAGTTATTTGGTCGCAACTGTGTTAGTCGTGTTTGGAAGCAGAAGAACTCTGCGTTTCACCCGATGAATACCGTCCCAACAGTGAAGTTTGGAGGTGGCACCATAATGCTTTGAAGTTGTTTCTCTTCTGCAGGCCCTGGGGAATTGGAAATCCTAGAAGGAAGGATGAACTCCGATATAAGGATGAAATCCGAAGGATATAGCATATGTGTTAATCTCGTGAAAAAGTATTCCAATCGGTTAGAAGCAGTTTTGGCTGCTAAATGTCAAATGACGAAGTATTGAGTATACTTATTTAGAATGCGGTGGATACGTTTTGAACCTTGACCTCTACAAAATTGCAACTATCAAGTCAACATTTAATCATATGGTTGTTTAAATTAATATGATATTTGTATTTTCCCATGTAAATTTACATTACAATAGTGTTTGTTTATGCTATTTTGTTGAGTAGTAGTAATTAAGTAGTTTTTCCTTTGTGTCGTATGCTTTTTGCATTGACTTTATCTGTCCTAATATTTCACTGGTCCTCCCCAGCGTGCCCCAAAGGTAAATGGGGCCCTGAGTGCAAGAACGACTGCCCATGCCCTCACGAGGTGGCGTGTGACCCCCTCATCGGCGTCTGCTTCTGCCCCGCTGGCTGGACCGGCCAGTTCTGTGAGGTCCAATGCCCTCAGGACAAATTTGGCAAGGTTAGATCCTGGTAGTTGATATAGACTTGGTGCATGTCATTTTCCTGTGTAAGTCTGTTCAACCTTTTGCATCGTATATCCCTTTTGCACATATTTTTGAATCATTTCTGGATCCATTTTCTATCCCTTTTGCATTCATTTCTATACTTTTTGTACATATTTTAAATCTTTTCTTCATGCACTTTTTATCCGTTTTGTATTATTTGTGCATACTTTTCCTCCATAGTTTATCCCGCTTGTATCCGTTTTCTATACCTACTAGTACTTCTTTCACGGCGCCCACCGTAAGAGGTAACAATATGCACTACAGCTTTGATGGGTTGGGAAAAATTTCCAACCAGGCTGCTCGAAGAGCGACAATTAAGAAGCAGTGCTGGGCTCGTCTATATAATACCGGGCCGCAGCTCTCGTTTCAATAATTACATTACCTTGCAGTACCTGATATCTTGACGTGCGTTCCCAGCAATTTGATCGAGTCTAAAACTCGCGTCGCTCACCAGTTCCAGTGTTAACTCCTGTCGTTCCATAATTTCCATATTTTCCTTCTCTAGTAACTTTGATGTTTATTTCTTCTGCAAAACCCTTGATAATTTATAATTTATTTCTTGGGTGTAAGCGTTTGACACCTCTTTTTGAACGCTTTGGTTCTCCCGCCAAAGGTGAATGTACGTTTCCTGTATTCAAACTCGAATTAAAGTAATTTCTCTTTACAAAGATATGATTAAATTACTTTAATCCTCAATTTGTTTTAATCCTTTTGAAATATTAACAGCTGTTCAATTATTGGTTTACCTCCCGCGTTGAGAAAAATTCCCGACAGATGACTCAATTAGAAACGTCCTCTGGTGCGCCAGTATCGACAGCAAACGTCGAGTCAGCGGGTGGTCATTGCTATAGACATAGACAGCGGGTGGTCATTGATACAGTATCAAACACAATTTTAGCATTTTGTAGGACTGCTGCATGGACCTCCGTTTTGTTCCTTTACACTATTGAGCCATCGTTACGTTGAGTCCCTGCCTCACAGAACTGCAAAGGTCAGTGCAACTGCAGCAGGCGTGGCACGTGTGACCGCGTCTCAGGGGCCTGCCATTGCTCTCCCGGCTGGCGAGGGTCCTCATGTGACACTCAATGTCCAGCGGGGACTTACGGCACCGCCTGCAGCAGCCGGTGTAGGTGCAAGCATGGAGAAAACTGTGACCCTGTCACTGGCAAATGTCACTGCTCGTCAGGATGGACGGTGAGGTTCAGGACGGCCAAGTTTAGTTGTGGAATTGCATGTGGTGTTGTTCTCGGTGAGGTGTGAGTGATGGTCGAAAGGATGAGAATCGCTTTAGATAAGTGTTCCTTAGTGATAAAATGAATTTTAAGAAATAACAACCTGATGGAAAACTAAACCCATGCTTATGAACTTGCGTATAATACCAGATCAGCGAAAAATGGAAATGTAAGCTGTGTACTAACTTTTATGAGGTTGTTGTTGTACCTTGACCGACGACTGACGTGCGTCGGCTCTGAATTTAATTGGGTCGATTTCGGCTATCTGACTCAGTAGATGCTAAGTTTAACGTGGCGTAATCATGATATGCACCAATAGGCATTAGATAACGCAGACGGGGCTTTTATCTAGTTGCGCATCTATGCAGGAACCGTATTTGATACGGCTACTACACTCACCACTCGCCTTTTCGAGTTTTGTTAGCTAATACTTCCCACACTCAAGGTTTCTTGTCTGCATTTCGGAATGACTCGTACTTACATCACTTGCTTCTCCTTGGCTTGTTGAGTCTCGTACCCTCAGCAGCCACATTTAAGGGGAGCGTCTGGCCAAAATTTTTGAATTTTAGCTTCTCCGGTTTAGTCTCGTCTCAAAGCTGACATTCTGACCTATCTAACGGTACCAAAACCATCTCTGTACGTTGATTTATGTGTTCACGACAGATCGCAAATGGGTGGGGGTTGTGGAGTTTTTTTACATTTAACATAGTGGATAATTGCCGCAGTGCACTTTAAATAGCTAGCCTTCACACAGTACACACTTCGCTTCAGTAACCCTGTTGCAGTCTTGTGGGATGGTTCGCGTGCCGTCGTTCGCACCATCCATGACAGGAATAAAACCAAATAAGTGGAACTCTGCGAAATCTAAACGCTGCCTAGTTCTCGGAACAGCTTCATCTATTCATTTGGTTTCAGGATGACTTGTGCTCCAGCCCATGTCCCGTTGGGTGGTGGGGGGTCAACTGCTTAGAGACCTGCGACTGCAACAACGGCGCAACGTGTGACCACATGACCGGCCAGTGCAAGTGCCTTGCTGGCTTCCGTGGTTACAGGGTAAGGAAAATTCTTGTATTACTTTAGGCTGCTGGAAGCTTCAGAACTAGAATACCAGTTTTTCTTCATTGCATCATTCCTTTCATTAAGGAGTATGAATGATGTCTCCCAGGAAGAAGAAACTGAAAATAATTATCACTAATTGCCGCTTTGCTCCGATAATAAGTTTTCTGATTTGATTGTTGTACGAATAAAGATGCAATGTAATTGATGTAAATAATATTGGAAATCCTCCTTGTCATGTACAATGTGCAGTGTAAGAACGAGTGTCCATTGGGAACGTACGGAGTGGATTGCACCGAAGCTTGTAAATGTAAGAACGGAGGCACCTGCTCCCCAATATCCGGCCGCTGCACCTGCGCAGAGGGGTGGCTGGGAGATGACTGCTCCGAGCCTGCCTGCCCTGACAACAAGTTCGGTCCCAACTGTGCCCAGTTGTGCTCATGTGAAGCTACAGGGACTGATAGGTGAGCTCAGGTCACAGCTGATTCCGTAACGTTACCCGTAGCTCAGTTACCCGTCAACTCGAACTCACTGTTATTTTTCATGTCATTTTATTTGTTTCTTTATTGATTCTCGCCTGTACCCTAAATATTTTAAAATGTTTGTTTTTACTATTTCCCAGTTATAAGCACTGACCTAGTTATTAGCACTGACCCTATGATCAAGACGTAATCCTATTATTCATTTTTATTCAAATGATTGTCATTCATTGTGAAGGCTGGCTGGTCTCCAACTCTTTATATTTAATTGTAAGGGCATTCCTTTCCGTGCTTCATTCTCCGGTACAAAACACGTTTTTACGAAATATACGCCAACAAGATGCTTGGTACAATCGAATACGGCCCTGGTTGGACCTTAGTATTAGATCGCCACCAGTTCATTCATGTCTTGTAACCTCATAGGTAACATTCCATATCCTCTGTAGTTGATACTGCCAGATGAATTCATTTTAAAATATTGCAAAGTTGATTACGAGATTAGACGGCGCATATCTAGTATTTTGCTTAATTTTTACGCTACGGATAACTTAAGTGTCTATGTTGCTATTCCACCCAGGTGTCACCCGGGGACGGGGGAGTGCTTTTGTAAAAAAGGGTGGGCGGGGGAAACGTGTTCACTTGAGTGCCCTTTCAACATGTATGGCAAGAACTGCTCGAGTTCCTGCCAATGTCTGAACGGTGCTTTCTGCAACCCAGTCGACGGAAGCTGCTCATGTGCTCCTGGGTAATAACCAATTTAGTTTTTAATTGTGGGCTGTGCTCTAACGATTCAGAGATTTGAGCCAAAAAGCAAGCTATTTTAATACCATAAAGTTGATGATGAACGGGCAATGGTTCATGTCCCCCTAATCTCAGTCTGCACGCGTAGGTGACGGTGAGATTCCAATGACATTGATTGGGGTGAGGTTCCATTTAGTTCATAGGGACTCTGATCTTTGACTGTTGCAGGGGAATCACAGCTTTCCATAAGTCTCCTTGTTGCGATCATCATCCGTGCACACAATTTTGAGAATTTGGACGCTAAATTATAAAGTAACGGAGAAATAATCGTCAAATTCAACTAGACTCTTAAGGTGATAGTGACCAAGGAAGCTCACTTAGGAGCCCCCGAAACCAATTTTGTGATTCAGGGAGGCTTCAATCTACCATCAGGTGGTCATGAATTAGCTGTTTGGAGAGTTTGAACCTTGCAAGAAGTCAGGCAGCTAAAGTACAACAGTTGTTTGATTAGGACATGCTTAGTCAACCGGAGCACATGTCCACCAGAGGACACAAAATCCTTCTCATAGTCTCCCCTAACAATATAGAAGTGGTTACTTATTTCCGATTTTACTTTGAAATGACAGACATAGAGAGTATCAAATCCCTATCAACTTAATCGACATCGGGGTCGGATGGAATCCCAACAGTGTTGCTGATAAAGCGTTTCAGAGCAATGAATGAATTTGCTCAGATAAGCATCACTGAGAGAAAGTCAGTAGTTACCTCAAGGAGGGGCTGATAACTCCATTCTACAAAGAGGTGTAGGTGACAATCCCAAACTTGATCATATGTGATCAAGGTGCTGGAGAAAGTCTTAGCCAGGAGGTTGTACAGTACTTGAAGATGCTAACCTATTGAACTGGAGACAACAAGGTTTCCGGTGAAATAATTCCTTGTCCCAGTTACTGGAGCGTCACCACCAAATTTTTGTCATATTGGAGGAAAGTGATCGCGCCGATAGGGTGTATTTGGACTTTGCGAAAGCCTGCAATGAAGTTAACCATAGTGTGGTCATTAGAAAATTATGACTACTGGGAGTTCAGAGGGGAGTTATTGGCGTGGATTAAGGTCAAACTCGGTCAGGATAAAAAGTGTAACACATGGAACAGTTTTCGGTCCGATCTTCTCCCTCATTCACATCGCCGATATATTGGTGGATGTGAGCCACTCCTCGAAATCGTCACTTGCGGACACTATATAGAGACTCGAACTCTATTGTTCAGTATGTCACAATGACCAGCATAGCACCCCTACAGCACGGAAGTAAAAGAAAGCAAGTTTTATCTTACCTTTAAATTTGAGAACAAAATATCTCTTATTTGAAACCCTAACAACAACATTGCAGGTATCACGGACCACTGTGCAAGGACGTGTGCCCGTACAACAGGTACGGCACTCTTTGCGCCCTGGAGTGTAACTGCACCAACGGCATGGGGTGTCACCCACAGACTGGAGAGTGTGTCTGTCAGCCTGGCTGGAGAGGGCTGCGATGTGATGCCACCTGTCCAGACGGGCGGTACGGCCTCAACTGCACCCAGACGTGTGGCTGTCAGCACCCTGGTGCCAGCTGTCACCCGACGACGGGAGTTTGCACGTGTGGACCAGGTTACCACGGCCAAGAGTCAGTATTTGTGCAAAGTGTCAGCGAAGTTAACGCAAATTAGGGATTAACATTGTGAGCGGTTTATTATTTAGTAACTAGTTTGCCATTATTGCTCCGACGCTCAACTTTTCTGCTGCAATTTCACACCAGAAACATATCTTTGATCACATCATGTATGTTTGTGTACGCAATGTCTGATATTACAACGTGCATTTGACATGTACTTGCTATTTGAATAACTAAGCTTAGCAGGTTGAAAGTACTTCATGTGTCACGTAAGCCACTTTAATCGCAGATGTGAAAAGCCGTGTGAGAACGGCATACATGGTACGCAATGCCGTTTCCGTTGTTCCTGCGTCTGGTCAAACACCGAGGGCGGCTGTGATCCAGAGACGAGCGAGTGCTTCTGCAAACCAGGCTACCGGGGTATGTATAAAATGCCTACTTGGGTAAATTTGACAGCCAGGTGGGTATAAGTGCTACTTCCAAATACTTTAAATTTTTAATGTCGGATAAATAATGAGAAGTAAGGTCTGCAAAAGCTTAGTTGTTGCATTATTTTACCCTCGGAACTAAAGTACCAATCAGGATGCGGGCCAAGTGCATTCTGAGTATCGATATCCAATAAAATCAACCTGAGAACAGGGATTTGATGACTAGATGAAAGAATAAATAAATACGCATTCAGGTTAGACTTGTCTTAAAACGGAGTGGTAGGTAAATCATTACAGAGGTACACGCACACGGCTAAGACTTTCGACCATCAGTTCGACTCTTACAATGGGTACCACATCGCTGCGGGCAATTGAATGGAGTTCTTATTAAAGTGCCCAGCCTTTCATAGACGTAACGCTTCTGCCCACCGAGATCCTGTTCTCGTGACACATATAAACCGTCGACTTCGCGTTCGAGTGGACGTAACGCTAACTAGGTCAGCTGGTAAATACATAACATATGATAACGTAGTGATGTCGGCGCTGAAGATTAGGCCTGATATGGCCCGTTGCCGATTCTTGTACTTTACGTGACTTGTCACGAGAGGAACTAAAAACAGGGCTTTCGACCGGATCTTTTCCAAACTGACGATAGTTTGATTTACCTACTAGTTTTCCATCAGGTTCAATACGGTGCTAGGCATTTCAAGTCTGAACATATATTTCTCCACAGCTTTATCTAGTATATTCTTGAACGCGTTTATACTCGGAGCGTCAACGTTGTTATCTGGGAGACTGTTCCACATGTCGGTGATTCGAAGCGAAAAGAAATGTCGCGTGGATGAGTTGCAACGCAATTTTTTCAGTTTATAACCGTGGGCCCTAGTGTTGGTTCTTGTTTCAATTCTAGTAATCCTTCTGGGACCTCGTATAAACCATGAATATACATGTATACGTCAATGAGGTCCCCAGCCGTCGTTAACAGAGGTTTGGAAGCTTCATAATCTTTAATCTTTCTTCATTGGACTTGCCCTTCAAGCCTGGAATTATCCTTGATACACGTCTTTGAACACTCTCTCCTGAATTTTTGTCCTTTTCAAGTGTAGGTGACCACACGGCGCTTCCAATCTCTAGGCTCGGGCGCACGACAGGAACAAACAACTGCTTCATCGCATCTGCATCTTGAAATCGTATGAGCGTCGGATCAGTCCAAGAAGTTTGCTGGATTCATTAGCTTGCGTTTCAATATGATTAGAAAATTTCAGCTCCTTGCCGACATAAATTCCCAAATCTTTTTCCACACTAGACTTTCCAATCATCACTCTCTCGTTGCAACCATTTCTTCTCATACTGTAATTTTGGTGTTCGTTGTTTTTCCCGAGGTAATAAACGCATCCTGCACTATATAATAAACTTTTTTATCGTCGGCATACATTGAGCACACGCCTGACACAACTTCTGACCGATCGTTTATAGAAGCAACGAACAAAGCAGGCCCAAGGACGCCACCTTGTGGAACTCCACTGCGCACTGATGCCCAGTCTGACACGATTCCGTTAATATACGGACACGCACGTTGTCGTCTACCTACTAGAAAATCCCTGATCCATCGGAGTACGTTTCCCTCCATTCCCAAAGACTTCACTTTACCCAACAACCGCTCATGCGGGACACTCTCAAATGCTTTGGCAAAATCGAGGTACACTGCGTCATCCACTAGCTCCCTTTCGTCCAGCAGTCGAGTCCAATCGTTCAAAGGAAGACAAGAGGTTGGTGGTGCAGGATCTACTGCCAATAAAGCCATGTTGACAGTCTGATGAGAGATGGTTAACAGTCAAGCGATCGATAATCCTATCCCTCACAGAAAATTCCATTACCATGATATAAACGACACTTGTCAGATTGCGAGGGCGATAGTTACCCGGGCTACTTTTGTCCCCTTCTTGAACAATGGTGGTACTTGAGCTTCTATCCACTAGGTCGGCAAAATTCCTTCGTTCAAAGTTTTTTGAAAGAATACTCAAAGGGGCGACCAGGACGGTTGCTAATTTTTTTAGCAATCTGGGGTGGAACTGTCGGGTCCACATGACTTTTTGGAATTTAGAGCGATCAGGCGCTTGAGAACCTCTTCTTCGTGTAGTTCAAAACCTGTTAAATATGAGCCGACTGGGCGCTCCTCATTATCTGAAATACTGTTCAAATCCTCACCTGTGAACACACAAATAACTGATTAAGAACGTTAGCCTTGCCCTCATCAGAAGATATCTTTCGTTGGTCTATTGTCAAATCAGAAATACCATCGTTTGTTTAAAATTCGACCTAGCGTGAAAAAGAAGGCTTTCGGGCTCTTTTTTGTACTTATAAAAATATTTTTTCTAAGTTTTTCTTTGCGGTGCGACAGACATTTTTAGCTCGATTTTGAGCTCTTGCATACAAGTTGTAATTATCATCGCGCTGCGAGTTCGTAAATTACGCTTGTAAGCTTCCTCCTTGGGGCCATACTTTCAAAACTCGCTAAGTGAACGTAAGTACTTACGCTCTATTTTCTTGTCTATTATTGGTGAATTTTGATTGAAAGGTAGTCAATGAGTGGCTGATGAACTTACGATCTATTAACTTTTTTTGAAAGTATAAGCCCAGTGGTCTTTAGCAGAGCTATAACTGTACTGTTCACCCACAGGGACTTTTTGACTCCTCCAAGCTTAATCTTAGGTACACACGCATCAACTGCCGACATAATCGTGTCTTTGAGATATGACCATGACTCAGCCACATTCATGCCGTTAATACAGTCCGAAATATTTGCCGAAATATTTGCCGTAGTCCGAAATTGAGAAGATTCATCTGCCCAGTCTATTTCTGGATGGTTAAAAAGTCACCAACGATCGACGTATGCGACTTGCTGAAAGTCGTGCTCGGTAAAAGACTGTTTAGTATTTTATCGTTATCAGAGGAGCTGTTAGGTGATCTATATAAATTAAGGACCCTAGCTATGAGGATCGAGGCTATCCTTGTCCTTTAAGAGTAAGTTCGCACCACATTGATTCTCTAGCTAATTGATGCTCTGCAGATAACTTAACTTGCTGGGCCCCATAAGAGGTTCTAACCCACAAAGATACACCTCTACTGCACTGTTTTTCATTTAAGTTATGAAAACAATCAAAACCTGGCAACTAAAATTCAACAGGTACAATTTCCCCGTGATTTTTTAGTGTTTCTGTAATACAAATAATGTCTATACAATCGTTCGAGAGAATAGTTTGTAGGGAAATTTCTCCCTACGCTTGAGGTAAACCTCTTCCAGATGTAAAGCTAATATTTCAAAAGGATCAAAACAAATAGAGGCCAATGGAAGTAATTTAATCAGATGAAATCGTTGCTTGCAGTTCAATTTTAATCCCAGACTTTATCGTAGGTCACTCAAATTTTAGAACAATTAAGAAGTCCAGGCGGTCACAGAAGACAGAAGCCGACCAGTATGTATACTGTACGAGACAAAGACTTTATTACTAACGCGCTTGAGGACAAACACTGCTTAACCCATTAATGCCGAGCGGTTCCATTTGGAACCAGCTGGGGAAAAATGATTTATAATTTAACTCCATGCTCAAATAGTTATTTTAGTGGGTGAGTTGGTTTGATACGGGTCTTGTACACGTTCTGACTACGTTTGGTTCAGCTGCGCCAGTTACTTCTAGCTCAGTTGATTACGAGGAAGATTACGAGAAACGGGTGTCATGAAAGATGGCTCGACATCGTAGCGGAGAAAGGTGAGTTTTTCGTTCTAAAATGATGTTATTTTTACAGTGGATGCATATTGGTATTGATAAAAAGTGTACTTATAAGGATATATATGCTATTACATGATATTTTGTCTATGTAGTCATTTATACCATATTATACTTGGTCTGGTTCCAAACGGTACCGCTCGGCAGTAGAGTGAGCATTCCCGCCATGTAGTTTATATTGATGATAACTTCATCATAGTTACGCATTGTTTCCCTGAAAGGGGTTTCATTTTATAAATTAATCATTTGTATGATGTACATTGCGTTTTCTGTTATAAATTTTAACACTACCAGATATAGAGCGAGTATGTGAATATAAACAAAAAGTTATAATCTTTGGAACTAGGTAAGTAAGGCAATAATGATTTTTTCTCCTGACTTACACTTTTTTCTAATTTTATTTTTCCAGATCTTCGCTTGATGAAATAATTGACCTTTTGAGGGAGGAAAAGAATGCAGATAAAATACTTGCTATTGAGCCTCCCATAGAAACTGCGACAGCTGAAACGGACTGCGATTCAGATTGTTCAGATGATGCAGTCACTTGCAACCCCGATCACCTTCCAAGGAGAGTCCTTCTAGCGAAAGTAATTACAGAATGCGATGAACAAACATTGAACATCAACCAGCCTACAACATCAGGAAAGGTTTCACAGAAGAAGCGTCGGAAAGAAACTTATTCATGGCATAAGGATGTTGATAACATCGCAAATACTGTTCCAGACTATGATGCTGATACTACACAAGTGGAAACAGTAACTATGGAGAGCATATTGGAGCATATAAACCATTATTGGACAGACGAATGGTTGGACTACATTTGCCATCAAAGCAAGCTTTATGCTCAACAGAAATCCTTGCCACATGATTCTTTGACTCGAAATAATTTACGAGTTTTCTTTGGAATACTCATTCTTTCGGGCTATAATAAATTGCCCAGCAGACGATTATACTTGGCTCAATTGGAGGATGTTCAAAACTTACTCGTCGTAAGTTCGATGAGGAGAGATTCTTTCGAACAAATAATGCGATGTCTACATTTTGCTGATAATATGTTGATTGATGATGATAGATTCTACAAAGTGCGGCCAATTTTTGAACATTTAAATGAAACTATGAAGATCAATAAGGCTGGCGAATTTTTGAGTATTGATGAGATCATGGTTCCGTATTATGGTCGACACGGTGATAAGCAATATATAAGAGGCAAGCCCATAAGATTTGGGTACAAGCTATGGGCAGCAGGTAAATCAGACGGCACTCTACTCCACGTAGAACCATACTGTGGAGCTAACACGAAGATACCTGATCATGGGCTCGGGCATGGACCTAATGTAATCATGGAGATGATAAACAAGACTCAGTTGGCCCCAGGCCATCATGTGATATGTGACAATTATTTTGGCTCAATTGGGCTTCTCAAAGAACTTTCAAAGAGAAGAATAGCTCTTACAACAACCCTGAGGGAAGATCGGTTAGGGAAAGCCCCATTGAAGTCTCGATACATAATGAACAAGGAAAAGCGTGGTTCTTTGGATGAAGCTTTCTCTGGAAGTGTTTCTGTGACCAAGTGGAAGGATAACAAAGTGGTAGCCGTAGGATCCAACAAACTAAGAGCAAATCCAATTCAAACTGCAAGGAGATGGGACAGAGTCGCCAGAAAATATACTCAAATTGACGTCCCTCATTCTGTACATGTTTATAATAAACATATGGGCAGTATTGATATATTTGATCAACAAGTGTCTGCATACCGCATCCGAATAAGGTCTAAGAAGTGGTGGTGGCCATTGTTTGCATGGAGTCTCAATGCTCAAGTTGTGAATGCATGGTTTCAATACCGGAAGAAAGAAGTGAAGATAAGTCTGTTAGACTTTACAAGAAAATTGGTAATATCTGTACTGAAATCGCATGGAATAGGAAAAAAACAACCAGGGCCTCAATCGCACCTTTCTGCTTCAATCCTAGATGAAGTGAGATACAACAACCAGCAACATTGGCCAGCTAAAGGTGATCAGAAGCATTGCAGATGCAGACAATGTGGACAACGAACTCATCACATTTGCAAAATGTGTAACCTTCCAGTTCATCCCAAATGCATGGAAGCATTCCATACTAAAGATCAGATTACAATGTAATTCCATTATATTTTTATAGAAGAGGCTTATCAGCATATTGTCAATGATGCTCCATCATCGCTCATTATTTACCAGTGAAAAAAGGATTTTCGAAGTAGAAGCAAATTTTTTTTGTATTGTTAAGTTAATGCCGAGCGGTTCCATATGGAACCAGGCTCTATTTTTTATATTATTTTGAAAAATAAATATTTGCACATATTTTTCGTTTATTATCATCACCAATAACATAAATTTCACAAAAAATCTGGAAAATCCTCGTTAAATAATTCTCGTCATTAATGGGTTAAATATTCAATTACGGAAATTTAACAATTTCATTTCAAGTTAGAGCTCACCTTATTAAATAAAAAATAAGTGCACTTTTGGTGCTTTTAGAAGTGAAGTTTAACAGTATGCTGTTTTCAATTCTCTTAGTTAAAACGCGGCTGCAACAATGGTCGCAAACCGCACCACTTGAACAAATTTAATGGTCGCCACTGTTCCACAAAGTTAATAAACACTACGAGAGAAGTGAACACTTCGATATTACAGTTAAAGAGAAGTTATGGTTAAGTTGAAGATTTAATGGGACCCGCCAAACAAAGATTAATAGTTAAGAATTTAAGGTATTGATCAAGCAAGTTTAGTTTCACGTTAGGCATTTAATTTTTTAATAGATAATTATCACAGAGCCTGACGGGCCTGCCAAAGTGTTCAAAGGAGGTGACAAAAGCATGCACCCAAAATAAATGGGTTGTGCACAACAAGGGGTTGTGCAAGGCAAGGGTTGTGCACAACAAAATAAAACCATCAGTTATACACGAGAAGAAATGTGGCGCATAATCAAGAACAATGGGAACAGTTAGGACGGCGGATAACTACATTAGATACGTAAAGATTTAAAGTAGCTTCTTTTTGAGAGCTGCGCCTCTGTCTTATAAAGACAGAGTAAGCTCTACTTCTTCGTTGGAATTTCAAAGTAGCCAGGTTGGGAAATTTTCCTAACAAGTTTACACGAGTGTATCGTATACCTCGTTTTCACACGAGGATTTGTATACACATGCTGTTCTCTGACATCCCAATATTTTCATAATTTGGCTGTTAATTAACGACTTCGACACACCTGTTACCTTTTGTCTGGTTTACCTCCGTGCAGGCGTGAATTGCGAGAGTCGCTGCCATCGCGGTCGTTACGGCGAGAACTGCAGCAGGAGCTGCGACTGCAAGAACGATGGGTCTTGTCACCCAGAGACTGGCAAGTGCCAGTGCGAGCGCGGCTGGTCCGGGACGGACTGTCAATCTCCTTGTCTTCTGAACTACTATGGTTCCAAATGTAACCAGAACTGCCCTCCATGCGTCCATCGTAGGTGCCTCGCATAGCCTCAACAAAAATTAGACACTCTTGTATTGTCTATGTTGCCCATGTAAAGAAGTGCTGCTCTGACTGGTGAAGTGCTGATCTGATGGGTGAAGTGCTGCTCTGATGGGGGAAGTGCTGCTCTGATGGGTGAAGTGCTGCTCTGATGGGAGAAGTGCTGCTCTAATGGGGGAAGTGCTGCTCTGATGGGTGAAGTGCTGATCTGATGGGAGAAGTGCTGCTCTAATGGGGGAAGTGCTGCTCTGATGGGAGAAGTACTGCTCTGATGGGTGAAGTGCTGATCTGATGGGAGAAGTTCTGCTCTAATGGGTGAAGTGCTGATCTGATGGGAGAAGTGCTGCTCTAATTTGTGAAGTGCTGCTCTGATGGGTGAAATGCTGATGTGCTGTCGGAAGTGCTGCTCTGGTGGAGATTGTTTGGGACAAAAAGCTGAGCAGTGCTGCTGATGGTGTCAATTTAAGTCGCGTTCACCTAATGCCCGCATGTAAAGTTTAGGAAGTATTCACCCATCGTCACGCTGATATGCCGCCTTTGTTGTCAACCGTCCCCAAACTGTCAATAAGCAGGTCGCCCCGCCCTCGGGTACCTGAGGTAACGTTCTGCCCTCATTTGAGCCAGCTGATGCAAAATGGTGTTGCTTGCTACTTGCTGATGGTAATGGGAATAAACGGACGACATGAGATATTTGAAAGCCGTAGTTGCTTACATATCAAGTCTTGTGCTGTAATTGGTTTAGCAATTTAACTTCTTTCAAAGTACAAGCCCTTCCAGCTGTCTGGGCGTGTCTAACGGATATGAACGTGACCGAAGTTTCCCCCATCACGATATGGGGGTGGGATCTCCCAGTCCAGCCACTTTCGACTCTATCTCCTTGAGGTCCTTGTTGAAATTATCTGATGGGCAGGCAGGTGGTCTATACACTATTGATACCCAAACATCGAGTTATTTTTTGTGGAGAGAATACTCGTTACACCAAGCCTTCTGAATTCAAACTCAATTCCGCGATAATTCTTGCGAGTAATTTCCTACGTTAAACAAATACTCCTCTCTTCTCTCGGTCCGCACAGTATTGTTGAAATCCTTCCATTGCAATTTCCTCATCAAAGATCTCTCTTCCTAGATACAACTCGGTTAGTGCCATCATAAAGATCCCACCCTCATCTTCCGTCTTTCTGAGTGCGCCAATCTTATGACGCACCCTTCGTGGGAAGATAGAGCTTATGATGTCGGTCAACAAATTGCCAGACTCTCTTCTTCTTGATGCTTCTGCCAGACCTGCAGTGCCACTGCTGTATCAGAAATACCTGGCTCAGCGGCGGCTGCATTTGGAATTGCATTTGCTCTACCTGCCTATTCATTTGGGAAAAAAAATATTGAGGCCTCTAATCACCACTCCATAGGACTCCATTTCCCCCAACCACTTCATTGCCATTTCTACCCTATGAGAGTGGCGCCCGGCTGACGTTCTGCGCGAGACATCTGATGAGGTGAAGCTGTTTCCCTCATTCATGACCGTGGACCGTAGCTACAACCTCATCTGTGAGGTTTATAGCAAAATAAATTAAATAAAAGTACCTAAACGATATAAATATGTCATCAAATTTGAAATCTTGCTAGAAAACACTTATTCTTATTCGCTTTTAAGAAATGCCGCATTGATACAACGACGATGACTCATGTGCCTTTGGCGGTAGCCCACTTTTGGACAAAGGCTCGGGAAAATACACTATCTTTTAAGAGATGTATTTAAATTGTTTCTCTAGGCAAACAATTTTGCAATTATGAGTTCCTAGAGCTCGGCTTGATACAACAAAGCATGTGGTGCACATAGTCCAACAGAATTCTCTGAATGAATGGCAGGAAAAATAACTTAAATTCAAGTAAATGTTTTTCTGATAAGGCAGCATGTTCTTTCAACCTGAACTTGATGAATTTCGTGTAGAGGGTGCCTATACAGCTGCAAAACTGAACCACAATGCACATAATCCTGCATCATTTCATGTACTGTTCTAATCACGTCTACCCAACGGCATGAAGTGCGTTCATGTTCGTTAACCCCAATTCCCTATCAGATAAGTACGGCGTTACAAGGCGACGTTGTAAGTTCTTTTCAGCAATGGTTGAGTGGTTTCCGATAGAATTAGAGGGATTTCTGGTAATGGTGGAAGAGTTTTTGGTTACGTTAGATAATGATAGAATGGTAATCCTTGGTAATGATAGAAGCATGTTTCGGTAGTGGTAAAGGGGTTTTCGGTAAGCGCGCACACTCTTCGGTAATGGATGCAGCTGCTACCAGGTCGCTTGACGCTGATGCAATATTTCTGTGCCTTTTTCACCCAGTACGGGAAAATACGTGCGTTGTAGTGTCCTAAATGATACTCGTACTTATAATAGCTGTAAAATCTCCTAAATTATAACCTCTTTTCATGTGTGTGGGCATCAGGCAACGGTACGTGCGACCACAGGACGGGGGCATGCGTGTGCTCCAGTGGGTGGAGGGGCCCTCTCTGCGACCGCTCCTGCCCACAGGGCCGCTGGGGCTTCGAGTGCACCAACGCCTGCCGGTGCCGCAACGGGGGCGAGTGCAAGCCGGAGACCGGTGAGGAGAAATGATTGGGTGATGATACCGTATCTGAAATTTGCTAACGTTGCTATAGAATTTTAATCCCACGGGTTCGCGGTTATAGCGCAAACAGGCCTAGAAAGACAATCGGCGTCAACATTTCGACTAAATTTTGCCTATTTAACATCTGCAGTGAATTTGGTTATCAATGAATGACATTTTACATTGCTGATTATTGGTCTTTAGAGGTGTTTCTTTATAATAAGCGGGAGACAATAGTTTGTGATCGGTAAATATAGTACCGTCAAAAATAGTTCCTTAACTCAATTTGAAATGGAATACAGAGAGGTAAGACGCTCTCGATTAAAATTTGAAAAACTTACGTTGCGCCTCTGCTAAATTTATTTGAAAATAAACCAATGGGCATAGGTTCTGAGTTCACCATGTGGTGCAATGCATTGCAGCTCCTACAGCGTAACCAGAGTTGTCGGCGAAAGGTTGATTATTGGGAGCTGAAGAACAGAGAGAGGTTTCTGAAGTGTCTTTTATTGCAAGCCTTTGTTGGGGTCCACGTTTAAGTTTTTCCACGTGTAAGGGGTCCACGTGTAAGGGGTCCACGTGTAAGTGTGTCCACGTGTAAGGGGTCCACGTTTAAGTACGGCTGGCCGAACCTGGGTGACCTCAGCAGGAGAATGTGGCCAACATGTCATGCTATTTTAAAATATGACGTGTTGGTGCGATAAAGAGGGAAAAAAGTTCTAGCCACTATTCACCAGGTACTCAAATCTGGACCTTAGAAGCAAGAGAAATCACAATTCGCAGCAGGAAAAATTGTAAGGCGACGATACCTGACTACCACAGAGATGTGGTGTAGAGGTGAGGATCACCTTACAATGTTGAGGCATACTATGGTACTGGTGCGAGGCTGTACAGCAGGATACCTGATAATATGTGCCAGCCTTAATGCAATACCTTTTAATCATTGTGCCATGTTAATTTAATAAAAATTTAAAAAATTGCAAATTGCGTAATAACTAGATGATAAATGCACATGAAAGTTTTTCTTCCTTCATCGGAATTTATCCCAATTCAAAAATCGCCTAACTCTAAGCATTAATTTGCGTTTCGTTCTGATGGGTACATGAAGGACAAAGTTTACTAAAAAAATTTAAATTTTTACTTCATTATTGATAATTTTGGCACCGAATAATTATAAATGAAGATAATCGCAAAACAAAAATGACAACAATTGAGTGTAGGCTATGATGAAAACGATCCTTCTGTATTAATATATATAAATCAATGTCAAGTCATCCCACCTCTGCCACCATATAATTAAAATCGTTTCAAATATTTTTAATCATCTGTTTAAAAATAATTTAATCATCGGAAACTAGCTTACTTATCCTGGACTCCTTGCCCTATGCTGTGTCTTCACGTATACGCACATAAGTTGCTCTCTCTCTTAAAGACCGTCTTGAGTCCTTGGGTCGTCCCAAAGAGCTGCCGCATTGGTCTAACGCTCACCGCAACTTTAAGAAAAAAACACAGCGGCAACCTTACTTTTTGCCGTCTACTTTTAGACTGACTCACCCGTCGGGCCTACTCCGTTATGTATATTGACAGGTAACCTCTATGGCATTCAGTCCTTACTTACCGTAGATCATGCTTCAAACGTGTTACATCACGTAATTCATTAAGGTATAGAATGCCGAAACTGAAATTAAACCGTACGACAGAGAATCGTTAAGGAAAATGATCAGTAGCACCTCTTGACGTGCGCTCGACCAATGGTGTTCGACCGGGCATCTTCGGTAGTGTTCTAAAATGATGCCCGTAATGAGAATGCATGTTATTGTATATTACTAAAAAAACTGCAGCGATTACATCTTCCCGCGCAGGGCTGTGCGTGTGTCAGCCCGGTTGGACTGGTGAGGACTGCTCGCAGCCCTGCGCCCCCGGCTTCTTCGGCTACAACTGCCAGCAGCGCTGCCACTGCCGCAACCACGCCTCGTGCCGCCCCTCCGACGGATTCTGCGAGTGCCTCCCCGGTTGGATGGGTCCTGGCTGTGCACAGAGTGAGTCAGGTCCTCGGACTGTGCACAGAATGAGAGAGGTCCTTGGCTTGATGGGTCCTGGCTGTGTACAGAGTGAGTCAGGTCCTCAGACTGTGCACAGAATGAGAGAGGTCTTTGGCTTGATGGGTCCTGGCTGTGCACAGAGTGAGTCAGGTCCACAGACTGTGCACAGAATGAGAGAGGTCCTTGGCTTGATGGGTCCTGGCTGTGCACAGAGTGAGTCAGGTCCTCAGACTGTGCACAGAATGAGAGAGGTCCTTGGCTTGATGGGTCTCGGCTGTGTAAGAGTGACTAAGGTCCCGGTAAGATGTGTGAGTTCATTTACACAGACAGTTAATATCAAGGAGACACATGCAACTCAGGTCACGATGACAAAAATGTCTTAATATAAACATTAGGTTAATCCTCCTACACAAACGAATCAGATACAGAAGACGTACTCAAAAACTTTGCCGTGTAAAATATTGACTATTGAGTTAATAATAAAATTCAGAATTCTCATTTTCTTTCTGTTTACAAAATAGTGAGCGAGGCTCTTCATGAAGAAGCAGTACCATAGGTGAACTATGAGCTAATCCCTTAAGCACTAGCAAACGCTGTTTGAAAATACCATATCATAAAAAAGTTTATTTGTACCATATTTTTTTTTATTTCCTATGTCGACGTTGAAAAGAACATTAACGGTTTGAATTACAGTGTGCCCTGAGGGTTTATACGGTCTGCAGTGTCTGGGGGTCTGCAGCTGCCCCTCTGATCAATTCGTCTGCCACCACGTGGACGCCTGCACGTGTCGGCACGGCTTCGGAGGTACCTTCCTTCAGATTCATTCGTTTTTCAGTAATTTATACTTCATTTTAATACTTACTATACTTATTTCTTTTAAATTTCTTTTCATAGTTGATGGCAAATTTGTCTCCTCCAGTTCCGTTTTCCCAATCTCCCCTTGTTTTAGTTGTTGAGGCGAACGATCAGAGATTGTGCCCAGGAACATATCCAGCCATCTCTTGAAGGTCGCAGTGGTAAATTCCCCCTTAAAGAATTGATGTCACTTGTTTTCTTGAATCTCAAGTTTACTAAAAATTTGAAAGCAAAAAAAAATCCACAGAAATTCATATCTTTACAGAAAATATTTCGGGGTCCAGCTCAATCGTCAGTTCGAAGGTTCTAGAATTCATTTAAAAAATCACATATTAATACAATTGAAAGTCACGGAACGGAAATTAAAATCTAAATTTAAAAATAATAGACAGAGCACAACAAAAAACCTATCTATTCACAATTTCAAGGGGATAGGAGCTAAAAGCTGAATTCAAACTGAGCCTTAGTTTAAAAATGTACCAGAATTCTAAAATACGCAGATCTGAAGTTTCGGAGGTGAAAGCTAACACCCTAAAGTCACTGTCAGAAACAAGGACATCACACTGCTCGGCGTGAGTGCAAACAGCCGAATGAGGGGGCACGATAGCAACTGTCCAGTCCTAAAACTCTTGCCCCTATGCTCAGCGACCCTAAAATAAAGATTGCGTGACGTCATCCCGACATACTCAGATGCACATCGTGCACAACAATATTGATAAACTAGGGACGATCGCATATGAAAAGGGATCATATCTTTATATCTAAAGTAAGAACCGATTTTGAAATTCTTTACCATCACAATATGAAGATTGACATTTGGGAAGTGAATATTGAACAAGAATTTTAATGCTCATGACATAACTTCGGACACTGGGCCGAAGTATGGTAAAGAACAATAAACAAATTTCCTACTATCGCGCTCGGGAGCAACCTCACTGTATCGCTTCGACATGAAATCCTTGTTTTGGGTAAACAGCAAACTTGCCGGAAATCCATTAAGCGAGAAAATACTGCGCAAAAATTCAAGTTCAGCGTGCATAGCATGGTATGCAGAACATATGCGACAGTCCATTCAACTTGAATCGGAATGAACAAAATCTGAAGAAGATGGTATTTAGACCGGTGAATGTCGGTTGTCGGAACACAGAAGTCAGAAAACGGCCATTAGATTTGGCAACATTGCAATCGAGGAACGACAAACTATTGTTAGATTCAAGTTCCACGGTAAATTTGATGGAATTATGTTGCGAGTTTAGGTAATCAAAGAATTGACATCAGAGGGATGTTTGAAAATGGAAAAGGTGTCATCGACGTATCTGTTTTAGTATATTGGCTTAAAATCAAAAGGACAACTGGCCAGCCAAGAAACCTCGTGAAAACACATAAAAATATTTGCAAAGGTATGGCCAAGCGGGAATCCCATGCATGAACCGTCAATCTGTCTAGAAAACTTGCCAGCAGTTAAAAAATGATAATGCTAAAAGAGATTTGAAAAATTTACGGTTTAAACCAATCACAAAATCATTAATATCTATGAACAGAGATTGAGGCGAATTTCAATTGTTTCACGAAGGGGTATATTAGTAAACAAATTTCCTACGTCAAATGAGGCCATAGTTAAATCCTGAACGTCGGTAACATTATTCAAGCGATCCACAAACGTATAAGAATTATCAACAGCATGCTGACTAGTCGTAAAACAGTTTAAAAGAGGTACCAGATATTTAGCAAGTTTAAAACTAGGAAAATTATATGCGGCAAAAATTGGTCGGAACTGAAACTTCGAAGCAACATCAGACTTTTGAATTTTAGGATTTTGACTTTTAGGTAAGCCATATAAAATACCAGGGCAAGAACCAGAGGATATGAAGTTTAGTATAACTTTCAGGGAAAAAGCAGAAGAATATTTAAGCTTACGCAAGAAGATTTTGCTTTCGATTTTCAAATAGTTATAGAAACCTGATCTGTAATTTCAACAAATTTGGAAGAATCAGTGATTAGTGCATTTAGACTATTAATTTAGTGACTACGATCCACCAACACAACGTCCATGCCCTTATCAAGCTTACAACTGACCCAAGTCTTTATTTTAGGCTAGGTCATTTGTAAGCCATATTACAGAGCATGGGCAGCATCAGTGCTCTGGAATGTGTAATCAATAACACCCTCTTTCCAGTTTATTTTGTACACCAGATTTACTCAATTTGTTGTCTTTCTCTCGAAACTACAGCTACTTTGTGGTTACGAATAATCTCATCCTGTTCACTCGTCTGCAGGCGACAGCTGCGACGAGCCATTGCCCAGCATCATCGCTCGCCTGGAGTTGTCACGCCAACAACACTTCGTGGTCGGCATTACCGTAGGCCTCGTCTGCCTCATCGTCTTGGCCATCGTCGTGTGTGTGGTCTACCGCAGGTGATGCCATGTGATGAAAGATATGCTTTACATAATAATAATATCAATAAACAGTAACCGTGTTTTCTGTTGAGACCCACTTATTAGCAATCGGGTCCCCCATTGACCACACCCTTACTTACCGCCTCCCGTTTTCATCAGGCGGCGTGTGGAGGTACAGCGAGGTGAACGCTCCGTGGTGCAGTTCACCGCCAGCCCTCCCTCCTCCGAGGGTGAGACACCTGTTATGAACAACCCCATATCGTGAATTTTGACCCCAACAACCAGAATCTTGGAGTTAACCTAAAAAACCCGTGTCTAGTGATCGACCCCGTCTGGCCCAAACAACTCAGGGTCTTGGGGTTGACACCAACAGCCCCATGTCTCGGGCTCTTATATATATATATATATATATATAGGGACTGTGACTCGTGATTTCATTCTCGGTTTTGGATCAGCTTAGAGTTGATCCAACTTACGTGTCCCCTCTTTTCAGGTATGCCGAAAACTGGAAAGAGCGACGGTCAGGATGATGACTTCTGGGCTGAGATGTTGCAGGAGCAGAAACAGCGCAAGGTGGCCGACAGGGAACCCATGCATCACTATGACCTGATCAGCTCGTAGAGTTTAGACATGATGTCCTGCTCAGCACGTAGGCGCTTATACTTGATGTCCTGCTTAGCGTGTAGACGTTTAGACATGATGTCCTGCTCAGCATGTAGGCGTTTATACATGATGTCCTGCTCAGCATGTAGCGTTTATACGTGAAGTCCTGCTCAGCATGTAGGCGCTTATACATGATGTCCAGCTTAGCATGTAGATTGTAGACGTTTAGACATGATGTCCTGCTCAGTATGTAGGCGCTTATACATGATGTCCAGCTTAGCATGTAGACGTTTAGACATGATGTCCTGCTCAGCATGCAGGCGTTTATACATGATGACCTGCTCAGCATTAATTAGAACCTTTATTTGTGATGACTACAAGAAAACCAGCATAGGAATACGAGTAAAAGTATACAATGAATATTCAGGAATACAAGTATTAGTACAATTCCTATATAAATACAAATAAATATGAATGCTTCTGATTCATTGACCTTGGATGCTCTGCATATTTTCTGCTGTCTCAACAATGCTTATTATTCATAGCGCTCGAAATTGAGAGTTGATAGTTTTTGGCATTAATCAATCCCCTTCGCGTAGAATTAGTTTTTCTAATTAATAAGTGTACTTGTATCCTTTAAATTTCAAAGAGAAGCCGGGCTCCGAAGTCAACGATACATAGAAGTGAATTATTAATTTGCCTTACCTTTGATTTTGAACTCTTGGTGTATTTACTGGTTAATATTAAAATGATTCAGGATAAAAAAACCAACAAACTTTATTGTTAAGGAGATGATATCTGCATCGTTGGAATATTCATTGATTGGGGATAATAATGTTCGTGGAAAAACATCATTCTTTCACATCCGAAGAAATAATGCAAAAAGTTTTCTATATTCAACTAATGGCAACAATATCAGCGTTGTGTAACTAAATAATATCAGTGTTGTGTATTCTTTGCTATGAGGAACGCTGCCACATCGAAATTTACCAAAGCATTGGAAATGGACGAAAAATTAAACCATGATGCTAATAATTTTCGATTGTATTGAATTAACTGATTACGGCTTGCCACTCTATTGTATTTGTAAGCATTTACTGGTATTGGTGTATTGCATTGGTAAACTCTATTATTGGTAAGCATTTACAGACATTGAGAACATACAATTGCCTAAATACCCAGTATAACAGGGTAATCGTCATCGGTAAGCAGTGAAGAGTTAATATGAGATTAAATTACACTTAGCTTACCTGCAGTCCGGTGAAAGAACGAAGTGCTGCTCCCAAGTCTCGAACGCCGCTATAGACGGTATATATCCTGAGCCTCCACGCAGCACGCTACGGCGACACGTGTGCATCACATAATTTTTTAAGCTTGCTGATAACGGCACTGGACAATAATTAAAATTTTCCTTTCATGACTATGCAGAAGATAATTATTCAACTTAACTTAATTAATTTATTTTAAAATAATGCGTCCCATATTATGATATGCGAGGGAATTCCCGAAGATATTTTCTTGCATATCATATCATAGTGATGTCGGTGCTGAAGAATAGGTATGATGTGGCTTGTGGGGCTGTCACTGATTCATGTTCCTTTGTGACTAATTCACATTGGACCTAAAAACCGGCCTTTTGACCGGATCTTTTCAAAACTAATGATAGATTGAAATAGCTACAAGACTTGAATAGCTACTAGACTTCCTCCAAGTTCGATATGGTGCTTGGCATTTCATTTCTGAACATATATTTTTCCATATCTTTATCTAGTCTGTTCTTGAACACGTTCATACACGGAGCGGTGACGCGTTTATGTTCCACATGCCGGTGACTCGAATCGAGAAGTGTCTCGTCGATTAGTTATAACTCAGGTTTTTCAGTTTCTAGCTGTGGCTCTGTGGTGTTTGTTCTTGTTTCAAATTCTAGTAATCTTTCTGAAACCTTGTTTCCTGCCTAAGTCATTATAATGTTTACTGTCTATGACACGATAAACATACCTGGTAATGATACAGTTGACACACGCCGCCATGATAGTACCAGTGACACACCATTAAATTCGAATTTAACGTTTACTTGATTGTCTTACAATAGAGTATTATATGTAAGAAATGCAAATAATAAGTTCATCTGATTGTTTAAATCGTAAATTTATGCAATCGAGAAAGAATGCTGATGAATAATAAGACAAACACGTACGTACGCACGCACGCGAACGAGCACCGACCCCGACGAAATCCAGATTCCGTTCAGGGGCGCCGAGGCTCGCCATAGCCGCATCCCTGTCGAAATTTTTAGTCCTGTCAGCCGCTGGCACACGGACGCCCCAAGCGCGACTGGCGGTGTAAATCAGCGGCTCTATGTCCGCTTTAGGTTCCGGTTGCCGGAGCGAAATACGCGCAGAAACTGAATCTTGTGAAATTCCTGGCGAGCTTGGGGCGATCGTGGGGCGCGCGTATTTGGTGCCTGATCGCATTCCAATCCATTCATCGCCTCATAATGTCAGGTCATTGCGGACTTCTGCAGTGACCGTCTTACTGAACCTGTCACTTAACAGCCGGTTCAGTAAGACAAACGATGCCCCGCGCCGAGGCCGCTGCCGCTGCGTTGCAGCGATAAACCAAAGCTGCTCATCAAAACATTAAAAAATATAACTCAGTACTCAGTGCAGTGAGTGACAAAGAGCGCATTTTCTCGTCGACGAAAACATGAAGTCACGGACGGACAGGCAGACTGACAGACAGACGGACAGACGGACATGGCGAGCACAATAGTGCATTTTTTCCTAAATTTAATAAGAAAATGCGCTTAAAAATAATGAACACGAGGAGAAGAGAGGGAGATTATCTAAGAGAAATCTTTTGCTACCGCGTTTTTCAGACGGTTTTACCACGCTTCAAGTTTTTGACGACTTTGGGGACTATATACAGATGCATTTTGTATAGAGACTATGTCAATTTATCTATGTGATTAAAGATTGCGTTCAACCTTCCCTGTATGTTATAAACTATGCTTAGCACCATTAAGAGAATAACTTTTTCCGGTTAAGGGGACCTGCTACCCTAAATTGGAGGTAGCCTATAACTCCTACAGTTATTATCCGATCATCATGAAACTTCACATACATACGTAAAATGTAAAAATAATAACATTTTACCTAAATGAATTTTTCGAAAAAATTTATAGAAAACGTGATATTCATAGAAAACGGACAAATGACGGGTACTATAGAAAATCTATCTCCCCCCACAAATATCGTCCGACAATATCGAGACACGTATCATTAGATTCGTAAAGACCATACCTATCGACCAACCCATCACTTTTTTCATTTTCCTCATAGTTTTTTTTATGCGCGTTTTTCTCATTTTTTCACTTTTTTTACCCCCTCCCCCCTTCTCCCCCATATATAAGACGAACCATGCACAAATTCAAAAAAATGATGGGTTGGTCGATAGATATGGTCTTTACGAATCGAATGATATAACTCTCATTGCTGTAGCTTGAAAACTGTAGGAGGAGATAGGTTTTCCGTGACAATAAGTTGAACTTTTCAGGACGGNCACTCTTTCTCAATTCCTGTTTGATGGTTTCTTCCATTTCGGCCTTAAAGACAGAAAACATAGAAGAGCACTTCTCTTCCACCATTTTTTCGCTTTTTATAGCGCTTAGTGCAGGTTGTTGGCAGTCCTGGCAATACCAGTGTACTGCCTTGTTCTTGCGAATAACCGAGCAGTCAGTCTTGCTTAACTTTGCACAAATGTTGCAGATGGTATCCCCGCAACGATTGCAGGCCACTGTAGCGTCATTGACGTTAAGCGATCCCAGCTTGCAGAATTTACAAATTTCATCTCGCTCATTTTGCGATTTGATCTTCGCATTCGGCTTAACAGGACTGGTGGCCTTCTCATTTAATTTTTTTCCTCTCTGACCAGCCATCTTGAAATGCAAGAGCTAGATAAACACAAGTTAAAAACCGAAATCAAGTTGAGTAAAAATTGTACAAATTGTTTGATTGTTCAAAATTGTTACAGACTTGAGAGCAAGTGGCTTTCAGAGAGCGGCGATCTCAGCGGCTACTAAATCAGTACAGGAACTTTACCGGACATTAATTATTTGTTTTGCTAAATTGCCAAAAATATATAAAAAAAACTTGACCTGGCTGGACCTAACCCCAGTAAAATGGTCTCTAGCAACCCAAAGAAGAGTTTTAGACACACCTAACCCTAACTCTAACCCTAACCTAACGAGGATGGCGTTTTTTTTGAATGTAATAAATGTCCGGTAATGTGGTTCATATATTTGCGTGTCCGGTTTTTATATATAAATTAATCATAGCGTCAATTACCGGACTCGATTTTGTCCGGTTTTGTACCCCCTGTCCGGTAATGTTACCAATTTTGTCCGGTAATTGTTCGAACTATGTATTTATATATGTGTGTGTGTGATTTTTTTACTATATTTATTTATATTAAATGGTCATTCATAAAAGTTCAAAACGGCCTCGTGTAAAAAGTACTGCATGCAAATCCATTTTATTAGATCTGTTGATCGCGCCTGGTTTGTAGCTTCACAATGAGTCCAAACATATCGCGATTAATGCTCTATAAACAGAGGTGGGCAGTAGCGCGCTACATGTAGCGGTAGCGGCGCTACATTTAAGGCAATGTATCGGTAGCGCCCGCTACATATTTAAGTAGCGATACGAGGTTTTGCCGCTACAGCGCTACCGCTACATTTATAGATAAAGGCTTTAGATTTTACTTAATAGCATTAAATATTATTTAAAAACCAGCATGATACATACATAATATAAATAACAGAATAAAACTGTACGAAAGATTTTGGTGTAATGTTGTCAACCTCAGTCTGTTACTAGTGTCAACATGTTAGTTGTTACTTGTTGAGTTGTTACCAGATACAACTTACAGGTATTTTTTCATGTTTCACTTTGCTTAGTTATTTTTACACAGTCATTTTTATGTTTCACCTTCCCTACATGGATGTCTACTTTAACTACCAATCTTAAAAGTAATGAACACATCTATATACAAATGAAAGACTGAGTTTCTATATGTATATGTGGATAATTTTTGAGATTGGTAGATTAAAGTAGACATCCATGTAGGGAAGGTAAAACATAAAAATAGCTGTAACCTTTATTTACTGTATCTAACCCGTACTAGTTCGGTTAGGTTAATTGCAATAAAATTGCATTGATATGTTTTGAAAATGTTTTATTATCATTGTTGAGGCTTCTCGTGCACATTTGGTTCCATCCATTAACGCTGTAATAGGAGGTGTAGTCAGGAGCCAATGTCATTCAATAGACAGAACGATTGTAGACCCACGACGATACGTAACCTATGAATTCGCTCTTCGTTTCGCTAAGATCCTTACCTACCGATATTTACCCAGTTCCTCCGATGATTCGGTAAGCTAATTTAGTTTGATATATTTCTTTTGTATGTTATTAT